CTCAGATTCCAGATTTTCAAATAGTTGTATCTCGGCCAAATATTGTCCTATCCTAACAAACCATACATTAATGGAAAGCTGATTTATTTTTTATTTATTGCGAAAAATTGACCCTTATGACTGGTTTTGTGGTCCAGGGTCACATATAGTATTTTCAATCACAGATATTCCTGTACGGACTGAAGCTATTGTTGTATTTGTTTACATCATACTTCATTTTATTTATGAGATTATAAATTGATCCAGTAAAAACAGGCTCCAACTTAAAAACAGACTGTGCATTTGGTCTTAAAGTGACAGCAACCTAATAAACCTGCTTAATGAAAAAAAATGAAGATTATTTAATTTCTATTTTTACCTACCTGAAAACTTAAAGCACTCTTCATTTGTATATTTGTGTATATATATATATATATATATATATATATATATGGGACTGACTTTGTGTCCTGCTCACAGTGGCGTTTAACATGGAATGTCACGTCCGTCATAAAATTACAATTAGAGGCCTTGATGCTGGCAAGCGTCTACTAAACGACAGCAGAATGAAAATCAATTTGATTGGCCTAATAAAGTGATTTGTGTGCCACTAATGATTCACTTCATTTGCTCTTTTGTTCAGGCCGCATCGACAGTGTCTCATTCAGGTTCTCCTGAGAGACGTTTACTGCTGAATGATATTAAAGATCAGTGAACTCCAAGAGTGACAATGACTCGAAACATACCAGAAAATACCACAACATTACTATGGGTATTATCTTGTGGTAATTGCATGGTGTTCTTTGAAGTACCATGTGAATATTATATGAACATGGTAATGAGTATCTTGGTATATGAAAGTATAGAATACCAGTATTGCTGTGATTTTGGCATGGTAACATGCTAATATTGTGTTTTTAAGATTATACTTTTAGACCATTTTTTAGAAGTATTTTGCAAATATAATGTAAATTTATGCAAATACCATGGTACATGATTATGATAATAAAAGTACCATGGTATTTTCTTCTGACGTTTTCCTGTCGTCACCAATTTTAATTTTAATTTTAGTTAAAGTTTTTTTTTAAAGTTTGTTTAGAGTTTTATTGTGCTTTTGTCTTTTTTTAATATTTATACTTAGCTTTAATTTATTATTTCAATTTTAATTTTTGTATTTTTAGTTACTCCAACTTATTTAAATTAAACATTTCTAATTTTTGTGTACATTTTTCATTTCAGCTTTATTTCAATTAACAGTTTTTAATAGTTTTAGTTTCAGTTAACAATAAAGACACTGAAATAAACCCAAATATAATGTGATTTTACCAAGGTTATAATTTGGTTATACTTTTGGATCATGTATTT